TTACCTGTTTTCTATAACATCATTGTTTAATTGTAAAATTAAAAACTACTCTGTTGGTTAAGGAAAGCTGACCCTTCTCTGTATGCCGGCAGAATTGAGACTCCTTACATTTTTGTCCCAGCGAAACAGTAAAGCAAATAGACAAAGGAACATGAAAAAAGACAGAGGGGAGGAGGATGAGATCTGCAACATGAGGTCTGGGGTACTTCCTCCGTTGCACTCGTATATTTCTTCATCTCTTGCTCAGAGGGCCCTGTGATGCTGTTAAGACTATGGAGGCTGAGGACCATTGCTTTTCACTTTTTATTTCTTCCCCCAGCTCCATCAGTAAGAGTCTTTAAAATCACTGCAATATAAAACTAGTGACTCAAAATCCCTCAGGAGTTTGTAATTATATACTCGTATTTATTGACGTGATGATTTGATTGGTTGCTGATCCCACCAGAGGGTAACCTCCTTGAAGGCAGGAGATGCATCTTCTTAGCACAATATCTACAGCTCCTAACACGGAAGCCTAGAAAACTCAAATTCCTGATAAATACTGTTGAGGAGATAATCACTGCTCTCAAAGTGCGGTGCCCAGGTCAGCAGAATTAGGGTTGTCCAGATACATGTTAGCAAAACAAATTCTTAGACTCCACTCCAAGAGGACCCCACTCCTACTGAACTGAAACTCTGGGGTTGGAGCCCAGCAATCTGTTTTAACATCCCCCCAGATGATTCTGATAAATGCTAACATTTGCGTGCCATGGTAATCAACCAGTGAATGCCCTTTATCTAGCCACAGAGTCCTACTTGCTGGCCAGTTGTGTGTCTGCAGAACTCTGTCACCTCCTTTTCTAAAAGCACAGGTTGATCACTAGCGTGGATGGCTACACAGGCCTGGCAGGAAAATAGTGTTCAAAGATAGCATGTTGCTATCTGGATATTGGGAAACAACACATTGACGCAGCTTGTCTGTGTTACATCTTATTCGATGATATCCTTTTCTACAAAATCTAATGAAAGGATTCAGTTGAGTTCTTATTTCTCACCACCAAGAGAGGAATTTGCCCATGCTGCTTAGGAGAGAATGATAAGCTAGACACAAAGGCTGGCACTCAAATCCCTGGAGTCCCAGAAGCATGAATTTTACCTTTGCAAAAACACTTTCCATAGACGTAACCAAGGAACAGAGATGGACTTGAACTTTTTGATAGTCTTAACTGGACAATTTAGAAAGGCAGGCCTGATTCTCTTTAAGTCCTCGGGCCATCATGGTAAACATTCATTCACATCCAAGCAGGAACCTAACTTCTTCTCTTGAACTGAAAGTCAAGTTCAATTGGGAGATGCTGTCATTGGCCTTGAATCCCTCAGAAGGCTCAAAAACACTAACTAGGAAGCCCATTAGCATAGGAACCTTTTTGCCTTTCAATCAGATAATGCCTCCCCGTGTGACTGACCAGTCGCCATTGATCGTGTGCTTTTCTCTTGGCTTTTCAGCAGCTGCTTGTAATGCGTTTAGGTGAATGGTGGAAAGGTTTGTGGTATGTTTCTGGGTTGGTTTGTTTGTTTCCCACAGCACTGAAATTTTCAAAATAATTTGGCCTGAGAGAGAAAGGCTAGTTAGTATCCTTGCAGGAGAGTTTAATAATATATTAATTAATGTGTATAGCAGAGTTAACAAGTGAAATACAAAACTTTAAAAGACAATCCATAACAAGCATGTATCAATTGTTTCAGCTGTGCTTACTGGGGCGAGCACTGGCTAAGGGGAGAGATTCTATTGTTTCTGAGTGGGCTTCAAGTGCTTTGTAATAATCTCTGCATGTTCGCTTTTTATTTCATTGCCTCCCCTACTTTTCTGGTAGAAGCAGTCAACAAGAGAAAATAAGTCATGTTTCTGTTGTTTCTATGTTTTATACCTTTTGGCACAAGGTTCTACCTTATATAGAACTGCAAGTCTCTACAAAAGGATAACATTTGTTTAGTTAATGATCATTTCCAACAAATTCCACTTTGAATATTCCTAAAAGTATTCATGCAGAGGCAAAGGGGCATTAAATTCCCAGGTATCTTAAAGTTAAATTTTTTTAAATGGTTTTACAAATTCCATTTCATGTTTTGCATTAGGTCAGCATAAAGTCATAGATATTTGATAATACAGGAGCAAAGAAATACATATTTCACCACTTGTTAAGAAAGCAAACACCTGGTGAACTGCTCTCAAACTATGTGAAAAGAAAGCGTATTCTGTTTGCATTATTGGGAAGTTTTGGGTCAGACTTTTGTGCTCAGTCTTCATTATGAGCAAATCCGCTGATCTGAGCTTTCAAGTACATTATTTGTTAATTGTGTGATTGTTTGCCAGAGAGACTCTTATTTAGCTTACTTGTCTGGGGCTAGACGCCCTCATTCTCACCAACCCCGCAGTGCTTCTGACATTTCACCCTAGGTCTGCTAACACATCAGTCAGTGTGTTGTATAAATTAACTTTTATGGTTTCAAATAATACACAACTAAAATAATGTGATGTATGAGGAACTGAAAAGGAAGGCTGATCAGAAAGGGATGATAACAGACAGATTTTAAGACCAGTGTGGACCATATTACATCCCATTTATTCCTGCACTTTGCTCCTTTCATAAACAGTGCTCCTTTCGATCTGTTTGATCCCTAACGGATTTAAGGAATGCCACGTTCTAACAGTGCACTCGAAGGTTGTGACCAGTCACTTTTAATTTGGAGCAGCGGATAAGGTGCCAGGATACAACAAAGATCTGAAAGTGAAAAAAATGTAAATAGCAGTATCTCAGCTGGCAAAAGCACAGAACGACTGCCAAGCTGGAAAACGCCTATAGTAGATGCAAAGGCGAGCTAGGACTGTTCAGTAAATGTCCATTAATACCAGTCTATCACAAACAAATCCCCGTGTTGGTTAATGTCGTCTGTTTGGGATTGTGTGGACAGCAGAGTGGTTTGGCCTCCAAACTGCATTATAACAACCATGAAACTTTAAAGATAACACCAAAATTTACCAGAGTATGAAGGCCTTCCACCATATACTACCATGTTTCCCCAAAAATAAGACCTAACTGGAAAATAAGCCCTAGCATGATTTTTCAGGATGCTTGTAGTATAAGCCCTAACCCAAACATAAGCCCCAGTTAAGATCGTCACCCAGACATGACTGTTTGAATAAATGTAAATTTTTATACATGAGTAAATGAATAAATGCAGATTGTTGGAGCAAAAATTAATATAAGATCTGATCTTATTTTTGGGGAAACACAGTACTATGGATGCTACCAACAAAAGATGAATAATAGACTTGCACTCAGGAAAGAATCAGAGAAATAAATCTAGCTCAAATTCCTTCAGTTTGGGGTCACTAGGTAAAAGGTACAGTTAGTCAAGAGCAGAACTTGAAATATTAAAAACGTGATAATTCAATTACAAACACATAATAAAACTTGTGAAAACAATCTGTACAGACTGCTCTGGTGTATATTCATTCACAATCCAAACTGCTGAATGACCCATAGACATTATCCATGTTTTGATGTAAAGAAAATAACCATTTAGTTCCCCTGTAAGATAAATTATTCATCTTCAAAAGAGAAAATCAATAAAGAAAACTTATCCTTAGAAATGAACACATTGAATGAATAACTGCATCTTCAAAACTCAGTTACTTTCACTACTTTTCAGAGAAGAAAGGTCAGATTGATGTAACTCATGCTATCAAATACAGGCAAGTGCTTGCTTCTAAGAGACATTCCGTATGCTTCAGCATTTCTATTTCAAGTGAAATATTTTACAGGTTCACTTTCAACTATACATTGGCTTTGAATAGGAATTTTCTGACTACATTTTGGACTGCCAAAAATAAAATAATTCAAAAGCAGTCACAAGAGATGTCTTCTTTATTTTATCAAAAAATAGTAAATTCGATAGGGTCTCAGTATATCAGTTTCCTCATGACATAACTATAATCAAAATATTACCCATTTAATTTCTCTCCCAACTGGTGAAAACTACACTGGATTCCCTTCATTGATCTGCAAAGAAGGACAACAGAGCCACATAGCAGCATGCTAAATTGTCAATCTGTAAGAACAGCGACCCTAGTTGAATTGTGAAACTCTGCAATTCTAGAAGACATCTGGAACATAATATAGACCCAGGAAAAAATACTTCTGATAAATAAATGTTGAAGTAACATGAAAAAATATATGGGGAATATTTTTCTTTCAAAAATATTTTAGACTCGAATATAGAATGTTACTGAACCTTAGTCAACAATCAACCATTATACCAACTATATCAACAGCTGCTGGATGTTATATACGTGTTTTGCAAATTTGAAAATGGGAGACTTTTCAATTATCATTTTTATAATTAACGTTTGAAAGCCTAAATAAACAGATTTTTCTAAATGAAAAATGGAACTCATCAGGAATTCATAGAAATGAATATAAGGAAACATTGATAAAAGTATTCAAACCTCTACCACAAAAAATATAAAACCAGCCACTTCAATAAAAAGAAGTGACTATTATTGGTAAGAGGACAGTTAATCTTTTAAATGTATTCATTTCCTTGAGATGAAGCTGGCATATATCTGAGTTCAGAGTATAGCTGATAACAAGAAATACCAACTATTTAGCATTTAACTTTTTGTGAAGTTTCTCAGACAACTGACTCAATAAATGATACCTATTTGAAAACAAGAATGCGAGCATGTGTACCAAAAAAAAACAATGCTGCAATAATAGCACACACACACACACACATCAGGCAGCTGCTCGTTCAGTCCATCCACACTGACTGAGTGCCTACTGTGTGTCCAACCCAGAGTCGGGTCCTAAGTTCCGTGCAACTAGTGCCTATGATGGCCATCAATCACAGCGTTTGTGCTATGGCGTTAACATTTTTCTACAACTACTCAAATGAGTACTGGCCTCTTTACATGATTTATTTAAGTAAGTAAAAGAGTGTGGCCAATTCAGGATTACCTCACATTTATTCAGCAGCCCAGTTTCTTGCAGCCGTGACCAGATGCTCTGTATTCGTCCAGCATGCTCAGGGTGGGCGGTGGAACTGCCACAAATGCACTGGTGTTTCAGCATCAGAGGGTCATAGGCAATTCCTCCGGGACAAAGAAAACAGCACACCACTGAGTAATGACACAAGCTAGATGACAACACGATTACTCAAAACAAGGCCTTGCTTTTAAAATAAATTCACAAATAGAGAAATAATACATAGCCACAAAGTCCCAGGGGCACACAAGCGCTATTTAGTCCTGTATAATTGTGTGTGTGTGTGTGTATGTGTGTGTGTGTGTGTATCAGGGATGCCAAAGAAATGTATACACATGACTTGTATTCATCTTTTGTTATTGGTATATATTGAGTATTACAACTTTAATACAGTTTTTTCCTTTCTTAAAATATGTATACATTTTTTTGGCACCCGCTGTATATATGCAAAAAAAATCAACCCATGGATTAAGCAGTACTCAGACGCTACCTGAGTAAATCTGTGAAGTCCATGAACATGGCACTATTTTGAGAAACTTTAATTTTAATTAAAGTTTAAGAAACTTTAGTTTTAAGAAAGTTTAATTAGTGCATTTTCCTTTTCCCTTTGACTTAAGAGTATGCTGGAAGAATGTTGCTCAAGAGGGGAAAATATTTATCCCTGAGTGTCCTAAAATCACACTGAAGAATGCCATGTATATTTTGAAACCACGTGGTAAAAATTATGTCTAAAAAATATATCATTTTGCTGGTCCAAATAATATCCATTCTTAAGACTCACAGGCCTTCCAAAGCCATTCCTGGACCCCTAACCCTTGCATTTTCATCCTGAGCTTTCTTCTGAGCAGTACACTTATACACTGTCTACTCAACTACGCATTCAAAAGATGTCTCCTACTTTTCATAAAGTGTGAATGTCTCAGATTTGAGTTCATGATCTTAAACCACACACAGTGGTCCTCATTTCAGTAAAGGACTCCGTGAACCACCAATGCTTATGAGAGAAATCAGTGTCCTCTTGACACTCCCTATCCAATGCACCAACAAGCAGTGTCTATTTTTCCTCCAAAGTACATCTTGAATCACTCACTTCTTATTTCCAATGCCCAAACCATACCCAATCCAAGGTAAGATTCTCTCTCATCTGAACTCCTGAGATAGACTTGTAACTAGCTGCCTGACTTTCACTCTATTCCATGTGTCACACAATAGTAGCTACTTTTGCTTAAATCCTTTGATGACTTCACTGATGAGATTACATTTTCTCAAGGGCAGCATATATAGGCTCCTCCCCTTCTCCCCAACTTCATCTTATATACCTCCTTCTCTTGATCTCTCTTTCTCCACAAAGGCCTACTTTCCATTCCACAAAAGGACCAAAGCCTTACCAGTCTTGGGATCTTCATACTTGCTGTTCCACCTATGCCAAAAATTCTTTCCTTCCAGGCCTTATTTGGCTAATTCCTTCCAGGCCTTATTTGGCTAATTCCTATTCATTCTTCACGGCTGTTTTAATGTCACTTCCTCAACAAAGCAATCTCTGAGATCTCTAAATTAGGTCTCCTACTATATGCTCCCTTGGCATCTTCTATATCTTCTTCAGAGCATTTATCACAATTATGTAATTGTACAATCTTGTTAACTGTACATTTCTTTGCTATTTGGTAAGACCTATGAAAGCACAGACTAGAGCTGTATTGTTTACCTCTGAACTCTTAGTATCTGTAAACACGTTTGGTATATAGTATTTTTAATGAATAAATGAAAAGCATAAATAAATGAATAGATGCAAGAACTAGATCAGAAATTTCCCTTATAAAGACTTCCTTGATGAACCCAACTGGTACATATCCTTGAACTCATGACGTTTTTGTAGCCTTACTTCTTTAAGATAGTACCTTTTATTCTGTATGTCTTATCTTCGTATTGGCAAGTACCTCTAATACGGGCTTTTATTTTGCTCAGCTTTATTCTACATGGCATTTTGCTCAGAAAGAAGATGAATAAATATTTTTAAATAAAGTCAAAATGAAGACATGATGGAAGACAGAAAGGAAAACAGGCAGGCCTAAAAAGTAACATTCAAAATATAAAGATATATAGGACATGTCTTCACAATTCAGATATATCAAGAATTTATGAGTTGTTATTACATAACAGAAACTGTTTAACATACTTCAACTACAGTTTCATACTACATAAAATAGAAGATATAATGAGAATGAGAAAACAAAAAAATATACTATCTCCCTCAATTTAAAAACATATTCTTCAAGAGTAGAGATTCTAATCAATAACTTGCTTAATGTTTTCACTATTTCATCTCTTGACATAACTAACTTTACCCCCATAGTAATTGTTCCTCCTTTAACAACATTTGCTCTATAAACCACTGCCAAAAAAAATTATGAAACAGGTTATAGTAGCTGGAAGTTATTGCCAAGTATCTGGAGATTATAACACAGCGTCCAGGAGCTCTTGGAAAGACATTTGAATTTAAGGGGAAATAAATAAAGTCTGGAACCCTAAACCTCCACTGACTCATCTTAATGATGTAGCAATGAGGTGTTAACAGGTAGACTGCAAGGTGAGACTTGAACCTCATCCTTCATCTCCATTCCTTTCCTCTTTCTTTCTTTTTTCTCTCTCTTTTTTTTTTTCCTCTCATGAACAAAGACTTATAGGGTGAGAAACAATCCTGCTCTTCTCTTTGGGATTCATATGGAATTCTACTTTTCTTTGACCCTTTCTGCCCCACTGGTTACCACTTGTAGCATAAACCAATGGATCAATCTCTCTCTTGATCAGTGGGACAAGAGTTAAAATTAGGATTTGGGAAAATACATAGGAGTCTTAACATAAAGTTCTTACTTGCATTTTAAATTGTAGTAATTTATTTTCTACCAAAAAAAAAAACCCTCAAAAACTTTTGATACGTTTTTTTAGATTACCTTAGATTTTGTACTTTCCATGGCTTTCAGTTTTACTAAATGAGATAAGTATTTGAAGCACCTGAATTATTTTTAATGGCTTTCACAAATGTTGGTGTAATGGTAGCACTGATTCTGTTTCACATTAGACTGACTAAAGACACAATGTTACAAAGGGAGAATTTACTCACAAATTACATAAACTAACCCAGTGTTGGGAGAAAGAAGGCCTTAAGTTGCACTGGGTAATAGGAAAGATAAAGCCAATCAAATTTATTTGCCATAAAATTCTTAATTCAATGAATCACATTTGGTACAAACAAACAGAATTATAGCATCTACTGTCAATGTCCTGTTGTGAAACCATGGCTAAGCCTCATCTCTGTTAGGAATAATTGCGTAGAACAGATGACCAAGATAAAATACATTGCCCATCCCTGAGTTATCAGAACACACACGAGTCAACATGCCATGCCTTGGCTTTAAATAGAATGAAAAAAGCCCCTCTTAAATAAAATACCGTGACTCAAATTTCAATATACAATAAAATCGATTTGCATATGTGGCAACCGGACTCTACCATACACGTTCTTCGTTGTACTACAGCAGCTGCACGACCACACACTCTGCCTGTCTGTCCATCCAGGCTCTTTGTGGGGCCACCAGGTGGGAGCTACATATCAGTCTCTTTCTTGGCCCATTCAAGTCCTCACAGGAAATGGACTAGAAACTTCCTCTTTCAACAGCTGACTGAATTCAGACATTTTCCCCTTGTAACACTGTTCTTTCCAAAAAGGGGGAGGTGTGGCTACTCCAGTTGGCTGCTGAGAATCCACATGGAGGGTGAAGGCTTGAATGGTGTACCTTGAAAATTATGTGAGTTTAGTATTAAATCACTTTTAAGTTGTGCCAAAAAGTATAGTTCTTACAGAATTGATGGAAGCAAATTTCCTACCTTTACAACATATTTGTTTTCTCTTCCTTACTTTTTAGTGAAACAACATGTGTGATTGATTGTGTGACTTTCTTTTGGGAAAAAACTTAAATATTCCCAAAGAACATACTTGAAAGTTACTTATGATTTTTTAACGTATGTGCAACAAATAGATATTAAAGAGTCAAAAGGAAGGAGCTTAATGCTTAAAAATATTTGTTTTCAAATATACTACAAATGAAAGCCTTAACAGTTTACCTCTAAAATCAAGATCATTAGAAACACTAACATGAGTTTTGAGATCATGTGGATTATAAGAGAATGCAGGTTACAGGGGAAGTTTAAGTATGGATTAAAACCAGAATATGTGAAGGAGTAGAGTAAAAACTGTACGTTTCATCTCTTTTGAATTTGTGAAAATACTAAATGAATGTTACCAACCCAATATGTTTTTAATCCCAATGACAGTGGAGGGGCTTTTTACTGATATATAAATTACATACTATGCATGATTTAAAAAAAAATTACTGAGCCTTTTTATTTTAAGAATTCAAATGTTAGGATGTAACATTTTTAAGGTCACATAAGATAAAAAGCAGGTTTTTCTCTATTGAAAAAATCACTTAGTCATTCCTTAACCAGAACAATTAACAAGTAACTTTTACTTTCAATGTTTTTAGGTTTGAACTAGTAAATACATTAAGTGTTTGTGACTATATTTATATACATACACTATACAAAATTATTATTTGTTTATTCAACTAAAATTTATTGAATGCCTCAAGTACAAAATCTAGTGTTTTTTTAAATATAAATTTATATAATCTCTTATTTTGGCAAGAAATATGCCTCATCGAGTCCATTAAATATGAAAATAATCTCAAGTTCATTTCCCTGTTGTGTTTGAAGTATAAACTCTGATAAATACTAGGATGCTGACATTAAGAGAAAGAAATTAATCTGAAATGACCAGTCTTTATATCGAATGGTTACGTGATATTTATGTCATGTTTCTATTATTAGGTTTACAGTTTCCCCTTTCACCTGGATTCTGCTAAGGCCTAAAAACCCTGTGCCTTTGGCAATGCTGTTTCTCAGACTTGCAGGGTTGTTCTAATATTCAGAGATCTTGCTTCATTCACTTTGAAGGAACATATAAAAGCAGAGGAAACCAAAGCATGTCAGGAAAGGGCCTCGCCTCTTAACCAAGAAAAGAAACTCTATTAGCAGGATTATTTGGAATTGGTATTATGATAGGATTGTTGTGACTCTGTGCTCTCCGAAAACGTATGGCTGAATAAAACCCGCTTTCAGGAGAAAGAATTGAGAAGTATGTGATTCTTAAGGGCTATGATCTGACTACCTACAAAAAGCATTCCTCTTCATCATGTATCTATAATAGCTTTGAGTAAAAACTCTCTGAAACTCTGGGATAGAACCAGGCATGACTGATCCAAGTGGCTTCCTCTGTAACCAGCCTGCAATCCTGGGTCATCTGGGATACTGGGGCAGGTTTGCACTGCTCCAAAAAACAGAGGGGTCAGAGGCAGTGGCTAATGCGGTACAAGAAATACATCCAAATATCCCCAGCCTGTAGCTCCTAGTAGGGAATGTTGGCCTGTGCTGTAATACACTATATAAAGTAGCTCCTATGCATACTTTTTAAAGATGTCCGTAAAATTAAATAACTCGACCATTTCATTCATTGATTTTAAAATAAAAGATAATATCAAGGCTTGAGAATGTGATTTCATAAAAAAATATTTTACCTTTTTCAAGCACAAAGAGTTGCATGAGGACATAAAAGTCACAAAACCAAACTCAGAATCTTGAAAATTGATTAAAAAATAAATCAGATATCCTATGAGAGCTTTTGGGGGGAGGTGCATATGGGTACTTGCTGCATCCAAGTTATGAGTCCCTTAGAGCTGCAGTATCTTTTATCTGATCAGCCACAGTTTGAGAGCATGGAACAAGAATTGGTCCAACAGATAGAAGTGTTTACAGCACAGTTCCTTTGTAGAGGGAACAACACCCCTTTTTGTGTGTGTTCCAGACTTGACCTTCCTCTGACCTTGGAGTTATCTGGTTTGTTTTCCTCTGTAGCCAGGTTGTTAAATATCAAACACAGATATAAGCAAAGGAATAGGTTGACCAAAGAGCCCACCCAGAGGTGCCATAATGAATAGAAATGGAACTAATGTATGTAGAATTAAGCTAGGTTTGCTTGGCACCATTGTGTCGCATGAGTCATTTCTGTGGGAAATCAGAAGAAAAGAGTAAAACAAAACAACAAGTGCAACAAACTGGGGGAGGGACACTGTTTAGATTCAAATGAAGCTAAGCATTATAAATTTCCTAGTGGCCAGGACTGCCAGAAGGAAGAGGCTGAGGAACACTGCTCAAAATTGTAGGGATTTTTGTTTCCAAAAGGGACCAATGCACCTGTTGATGTGTTTTCCAGGCCCTTGAATGATAACAATTTATGAGGCTATTAATGCTAAGCCCAAGATTTATCAGATGTGCTGTTTGTCTTGTGGCCAATATAACCTCATAAAATTTAGGTTGCATTGGGTTAAAATGGAGCGTTCTGCTATTGGAGTTATTCAGAGCATTTAAATCGGTTAATCCTACAAGAACAGTACATTTAGCCTGCATATTAAGGAGAGTCTTTAGGGATTCCTACCAGTTGCAGAGCCAGGCTGAAGGGGGCGGTCCATTACTGGGTGATGCAAAATGGAGGCAGCAGGGCAGGAATGAGTCCTGGAGACATGATGATGTTTCTCTAATCCATCCATGCCAGCCACAGCCCGCTGAGCTTGGCACACTGAGAGTGCACGTGTGTGCTGGGGTTCCAGGAAGGGCTGCTGCCAAGAAAAAAGCACAGTAGAAAGAAATGTGAGACAAGCGTTGAGGAAGACACTGAGAATGACACGTCAACAAATTAAGTTCATCAGGTCAGCGACATAATAAACGTTGTGAAGGAAAAAGAAAAGAAAAATAGAGAAAGGGAGAGAAAAAACAAGATCTAGTCAATAAATCCATTCAACAGATGTTTTCACACTGACAGCCAGGGCCTGCCTGCCTGGCTAAGGAGGAGGTGATGGCAGGAGGCCTGTCAGTTTGAACTGATTGAAAGAAACAGACCTTTAACCTCAAGAGGAACATCGACTTAGCCTCATTTCCTACCTTGATACCAACGTTTTAAATACAGCCCCAGAATTCTTGTAACACAAAGAGAAAGGACAACTCATTTGCTTTCAAACTGCCAGTGAGGCTCTATTCTGAAAATTGTATCTTGATTGTGTTTCAGTAATATTGTTAATGAAATGTATGGGATCCTAAAAATTACCAATCAAAGGACTATATCTTGACACCTTTCAGTCTTCTTATCATTGTATAGGACAATGAATTTTTCATCGTTTGTACGGTATAATTTCAATGCTATAAACAGTATTAGTTTCTTTTACAGAGTATTAAAGATATCTCAGTGGTTTAACAGTGTTGCCCTTCCGTATACTTCTGAAGTTACTGAATCAAAAAGCCAGAGTTTGGAAGCTTCTGGAACATTCACTTAGTCTATTCCTCTGTCTCCAGAAAAGATGCTTTCTAAAACTCAGGTAAGCAGCTAATTTAACTATCAATACTACACAGTGACCATTTCCTCTCTCTTCAACATCAGGGAATTCATAAACTTCATGCTGTTTTTTATGTTTCTTTCATTTTTAACATGGAAAATAGCTGAATAATGATACCAAAGATGATCATCGCATGCTTTAGATAAGGAAACTGATACTCCAAAAGTTACCAAAGTCTTTTAAATACAAGTCTAATTCCTATAATTTAAAAAATGCACATGACTCTCTGCTTTCATCTACCTGGCTAGCATTTTCTCTTTCAAGACTTGATGCAAACATCACCTGTCTTTCATAAGGCCTGGCTTTAAATTTCCTGCTAGGTTAGGTGTTCCCTTAGCACCCAGCCTATGCTATTGTATGTCATACTCATCTTGTATCTCTTGCACCAGGCTTGGTACACCTAAAGTGTACAAAGTACTTAGTGAGAATGCCAACAAATCTACATACAATACAACTGTACCTAATGCATATTATCTGGTTTTATATCATTATACTTTTCTCCATATATGAGTTATTGCTACATATAAACAAAAGTTATATAAACAAGTTATAATTATAAATAACTATTATTATATAGATATAATTATCTATAACTATACTTGTTATAGATCACAGGCAGAGATTTCCAAATTTAGAAAAATATTAAGGATTATTTAAAATTAACTTTAAATAGGTTATAATTAATGTATATTAATTCTGTTAATTAATGTATATGTTAATTCTGATTTGATCTGCAGAATAACTGAACCATCAATCCACTGGAAGGCATCTGTCCCATACTCAGGCTTTGGGCATTTGCTTTGATGATTAGGATGGTTTGCTCCAGATCTAGTTCTAGTTATAATAGTTTTAACACTTTCACAAGGGTCTAAATCTCGTTTTCTTGATTGTCTCCATGTTCAATTCCCTGAAGATACACCAGTTAAGACTGACACGGTTCCTCCTCTCATGGGTCTTACAATCAAAGAGAATACAAATACATAATTATGACTTCAGGAGTTTTCAGGAAAAGGCAGCTTTTCTGCATGTTATCTAAAATGCATGGGTAAATATATATGTGAATGATTTATTATCCATCCCTGTCTCTTCCCACTGTAATCTCCTCTTTAGTCCTCATCTAAACAAATGCAAAAGGCCTCTAACTGATCACCCTACTCCTAAAACCAACCCATCCTATTCTTTCCTGTAAGAATTTTTTTCCTAGAACTCCCCTGTAAGGAAAGAGTTGACATAATAGTCCCTGAAGGTAAACCAAGCTTTGAAGAACCTCTCAGCCCGTCATTTGGCCTCTCCTTCACCTGAGACCAACCTGCATCTTGTATCTCAGCCTTAGATCTACTCCTTTTCTAGGTTCTAGCCCAAATCCTATCTACTGCATGGCAAATATCATGCGAGGGTTGCATTATGATTTTCAGGGCACTTTTGCCTTTTTGGGCCCCTTCCTCCATAAAAAAAATATATTAAAATAACATTTGATGCTTACATTGGCATACCCTGGAGTCATTATTCTATATTCATTATAATAATATTCATTTTCTTCTGATCAAAAATTTAAATTTAAAACGTTTTGTGGGCTGCTGAAAGTACTGTGGGCTCTGCACACAGTGTTTAAACTGTGTCTAATGGCTATGTTGGCCCGGATGATTCGTGCTTCCGCCAACCTATCTTTCCTGTATTATCCCCTCCATGTGTGACTATAAAACTGCACATTTAGCACTTATACACTCCTCAAAGGTCCACTTCGTATTTTACATAGAACCTCCTATGAGGTCCCACATGAAAGCTGTTTTCACTTTCCACTAAATTCCCATCACCCTGTTTTGCTCTCCTTTTCCCTGTCATCATCTTTTCTATATTAGACTTACTGCATGCAATACCCACTTACTGAGTTTATGCTCGGGACCAGACACTTTGTTGGTGTGTTGAGCCTTTTTTATGTTGTCTGGTGAGAACACAGATAAATATTTCTAAGAACAATGTAATTATAAGCATAACGAATGCTGTATAAGAAAAATGCAAGAATGCCATGAAAAACTAGGAAGAAGAACCTGACATAGACATGGAGGGAATTTCCATCTAAGAAAGGGATGTTTAATTTGAGATGTGAAAGAAAATTTGAATTAGCCAGGGGAAGAGTGTGGGGGAGCTCTAGATACATTGTGTCTGTGTGTGTACATGTGAAATTATCTTTCCATATATAATATTGAAAGCTTTTTAACCCACAAGCTGTATCTAACTCATCTGTGAACTTATTTTTTGCTGCATTTTATATCTTTTCTTATGCATTCTCAAAGCTAAATAATTATTTGTGCATTAAGAATATTCAACAGATATTTGAAAATTAAAGGCCATGGTTTTTTTTCGATAACACAACCATGCCCTAGATGCCGGGGTTACTAAAGGTTTTCTCTCTCAATGAACAGCTCAGCACTACAAGACTTCATGTGAGTAACAGCAAAGTCTCCCTTCTTTTTTAATAGTGTTTATTTATTGCTTTACTTGGGCTTCACAGGAACCCTCAGAGGTAATGTAATAATAGTTTGCTAATTGATAAGCATGATACAATAGGAATATGGCAAGAGAAAATAACTACTTATTCAATAGCAGTCATTTATTCATCACAAAAAGGGTCCATCCACTATCTATTGTGCATGCAGAATGAAACAGATCCTATGCTGGATTGTATAGAGCAGGGGTCGGCAAATTGCGGCTCGCGAGCCACATGAGGCTCTTTGGGTATGTTCCATCTCAAAAGTTTGCTGACCCCTGGAAGAGCCAATCCTGTGCATCACAACAATTTAAAAATTATTCGAGAGGCATAAATGTATTTTTACATAATCATCATTATGTGAATAATATCCTTTAAAAATTTTAGAAATGCAACTATGATAGTTTTATTTTCATTTTCAATTTTACTTCAGAGCCTGTGGCTCGTGAGCTGCAGTTTGCTGACCCCCGGCGGCTCTTCAGTCTCAAAGGTGTGCCGACCCTAGCATAGACAGGAAAGTGAATTAAGCATGGCTCCTGATCTTGTGGGTTGACAACCCAAATTCAAGCACTTTCTCCATAGTTAGTAAGTTTTACAAGGATATGAGCTTTGTCCATTGACTCATATATTCACATGCAGTGTTTCACACATAGCAGGTGTTAAAAATATATATATATATGCTGAATAAATAAATGACTAGAAAGGAGATACATCATCATTCTTAAGATCTCACTATAAAAATACGATAAAACAAGAAAGTATAAAATAAGCAATCATAACATAAAAGAACCTAGGAATGGCTAATGAAAAATGTAAGAAAATTGAGGTTAGACAAAAAAGTTATCCAAGGACAACACTCTGAAATTATTTAGCATTAGAGCCAAGAGATAATGAAGGAAATGAGTGACTTGAGGATTATTTTTCTTTTGCACTTTCATGCGGTTTCCAAATTTTCTGCATATCACTTATATTAAACCCTTAAGAAAAATGGTAAATGTTATTTAAAATAAACAGTTGAACCTCTCAAACTCTTCATTAGGACAGGTTCATAATCATCAGACGTAAGAGCAGACATGAGTCAAATATTTTTGAACCTTCTGTCAAGAATAGGACTATGAAATTGAGAAGAGTTTATTCACTTTCAAGAGTTGACTATAAGTATATGCTTTTACAAATTATAGCTTTTAAGGTATAGGACAAATCTTAATAATCTAGTAAGGTACATACACATTGTGATGGTGCATATTAGTCACCAAAGTATCACAAAATGGTAGGCCATTTTTATTTCAGATGGATATTACTCCTCACCAATAAAAAGCACCCATTTTGAGGTTTAAAACTGAGATAATATTCTTCTGTTAGAGCTGGAAATGAAGTATTTCACTAAACCTTTTTTTGTTCTATTAGCAATTTTAAGGAGAGATCATTTTTTACCACAGTTATTTTCCATACTTCTAAGTAAGTACAAAATGGCATGTTTCTGTCTTGCTTTATCAGAAAAATAAATTGTCACACAGTTCAGAACCTATTGTTATTAAATATTAGATGGATACCCAAATTAAACTTTCATCTATTGAGTGCCATTGGAAAATGTGTTATCCCATTAAGTAAATAATAAACACACCCTCTGCCCAGAAAAGCATTTTTGATTAAAATATTTTATAAAGTCAATACAGAGTCTGTTTCTTATGCATGCATTAGCCTTTCTTTTTTCAGGTGATTTAATTGGGAGCTTTGT